AATGGTTAAGATGGTCAAAGTTGTTATGTTTTCACCCCATTTTCTGAAACGTCGGTTACACTTCTCTACACAGAAAGAACTGATAAAATAAAATTACAATAAGATAATCAATCATAATGACAACAAAGTCCGTAAAATGTCAAAGAGATTACTGAGCGTGTATGGGACCATGATGAAAACGTGAATTTTTTAAAAAGCATAATAAAGAATACACAAGATGATTTGAACAGGTGGGGAAATACCCCTGTTTTTTGCAAGAGATGACTTAATATTAAAAAGAAGTCAGTTAAAAAAAAAAAGTCAGTTATCCCCAAATTGCTCAATAAATGCAATCAAAGTTCAAGTTTAATTCTGAGGAACTCAAAAATCTTACAGTATAATACATCTGGAAAAAATAAAGGTCCACAAAGAGTTACATCAGCCTTGGGCCAGGGCAGGGGAGACCAGAAAGGAGTATTCTCTCAGGTCCCTGAGCAGGAAACGGCAGTCTTCTGTTATTACTGAGGTCTTGTCCCCACCCGAGGCCAGAGGAAAGCCAAGTTTTGCATCTTTCCGCCCCCTCCAGCACCCCACTGCCACAACTTTGGTTTTTTTCCTTCATGTTGTGAATGTGCCAACTCTCCTACATCTGTCCTTCTAGATCCACATTTCTCCACCTGGGTATGTCCCAGGTGCTGGCCTGTAGGACATCACGGTTCCAAACTCCTTGGCTTCCCCTTGCTTTCAGCCGAGCTCTAAGAGTGGAGGCGGGCAGAGCTCGAGGTCAAGGTCTTTACTCCTTTGGCTCCTTTGCAAGGTCACCTTAGACTGCCTGTGTCCCTTGACTGTTGCTGGCAAGCTAGTGACACTGTAGGACTGGCTCTCCTTCTGAATTCTGATAACCCCTCCAGTCCCTCGCCTCTTTCAATCTTGGGGTAGCGACAGGTCAACTGCTGCTACCCCCAGGTTACACGGTGCTATCCCCCACCTACTTCTTTGGGAATGCTTCCTTGTAAATCGACTCCCCTTAAACTGTCTTATTTCGAGTGTGCCATCTGTTTTCTGTTGAGGCCCTGGGACTATGAAAGTCATTTCTTTCCTCATTTCCTTCCTCTGACCAGCCTGGCCAAAGGCTCTTAGAAACCTCATTTGAAACTTGGGAGAGGAAGGGTCAGGAGAGCAGTTGAGTCCCTCTTCAGGGAGCAATCTTTTTGGGTTTGGGGTCTTTCCACCCTCTGCAGCCCCTGGGGACTGGGCTGGCAAAGTAGTTTTCCTAAATAAACATGGAGATTAAATACCAAGCTTTTTTCTGGTCTTTTCGCATGACTGTGTACATGAGTAAGGAAACAAAGAGAAGCTGGAACCCAGGGGCATGTTGTCACCCAGGAAAAAAGCACGGAGGATCCACCCTCCTGTGATATATTTGAGTTCCATTCCCATTGTCTTTTTTTTTTAATCTGAGTATAGTTGACACACAATGTTGCCGTTGTTTCAGGTGTAGGACATAGCAGTTCAACTTCTCTATACTTTCTACTGTGCTCACAAGTGTAGCTGCCCTCTGTCACCATACAACGTTATTACCATATCATTCACTATATTCCTCATGCTGTGCCTTTTATCCCTGTGACTCATTCATTCTGTAACTGGAAGCCTGCGTCTCCCACTCCCCTTCACCCATGTTGCCCAGCCCCTGGCCCCCCTCCCCTCTAGCAACCACAAGTTTGTTCTCCTGTATTTATAGGTCTGATTCAGCTTTTTGTTTGTTTATTCGTTTGTTGCAGTATTTTTAGATCCCACATATGATTGAGATCATATCAAAAGAGGAACCTCAAACTTGAAATCAACACAGTTCTCTAAAGTATTGGTATCTGCCCCAAGGGTTGAAGGGACTCCCTGCCTTGTGTGTGCCCTTGGGAGCATAGAACCAGCCCTTCATGGGTGGACAGTTGGACTAGATGACCTTTAAAGTCAATTCCAGGGACGCCTGGGTGGCTCAGTTGGTTGGACGACTGCCTTCGGCTCAGGTCATGACCCCGGAGTCCCGGGATCGAGTCCCGCATCGGGCTCCCAGCTCCACGGGGAGTCTGCTTCTCTCTCTGACCTTCTCCTCGCTCATGCTCTCTCTCACTGTGTCTCTCTCAAATAAATAAATAAAATATTAAAAAAAAAAAAAGTCAATTCCAACTCCAAGTTCAGCTTTTAAAATGAACAAAACATTGAAAGGAGAGAACCAGGGGTGCCTGGGTGGCTCAGTGGGTTAAAGCCTCTGCTTTGGCTCCGGTCATAGTCTCAGGGTCCTGGGATGGAGCCCCGCATCAGGCTCTCCGCTCAGCGGGGAGCCTGCTTCCTCCTCCTCTCTCTGCCTACTTGTGATCTCTGTCTGTCAAATAAATAAATAAGTCTTTGGAAAAAAAAAAAAAAGAAAGGAGAGAACCACCTGGATTAGATATAATCCAACAGCCCATCTGTCTCTCTCCTCTCTCCCCCCACCACCTCTCTCTCTCTCTCTCTCTCTCTCACACACACACACACACAGAGCTTTTATTGACATTTTATTATGTTTAACATTCTAGTCTCCTCATACAGTCCTAGAGCTGGCTCACCATTATCCTACTTCTTTCCATCCAAGCACCACTCATCACCCCATGTGAGGACATGTAGTTCCTCCCTTTTCTCCCTAGTCTGGCTTCCTGGATCCCAGACACCTACGTGGCACTTTCTCCTAACTCCTTACCTGGAAACGGACAGCCATCCCTATAAAACACAAACACACAAAGTTAGGGCAGAGAGAAGCCTGCCAGGACTCTCCAGAGGAGGACTGGAAGCTATCCAACTAGCTGACTCTCTCTTTCCTTCCCCTGGGGGTCCTGTCACTTTGATTCTCACTGCTGTGACCAGACCCGGACCCTCTGGATAGGCAGCTCCCTCAAAATCAGCCCTGCAGAGACACCACCTAAAGCCCTACCCCAAGACCAGACTAGCACTTCAAAAAGAATTTATTTTGTCAACTAAACAAAAACAAAAATCACGAATAGAAAAAGGAAAATGAGGGGCACCTGGGTGGCTCAGTGGGTTAAAGCCTCTGCCTTCGGCTCAGGTCATGATCCCAGAGTCCTGGGATCGAGCCCCACCTGGGGCTCTCTGCTTAGCGGGAGCCTGCTTCCTCCTCTCTCTCTCTCTCTGCCTGCCTCTCTGCCTACTTGTGATCTCTGTCTGTCAAATAAATAAATAAATAAAGGAAAATGAAACAACATAAGACTTTAAACAGCAAGTTTTCAAATTAAGTCAAGCAGAAGTGGAAGATTATTTACATGATGCACAAGCTTAATCATTAAATGCTGTATGTAAATGCAAAAAAAGAAATACAAAACTGATAAAATTTCTAGAGATTAATTTCTGAGCCAACATTTGCCAATTACCACAGCGCTCAGCACTTTCCATCTTCCAACCTTATATGGCCTTGTTCAGAGAATAATCGTTTTGAATTCATGAGCACTTTCCCCTCCCATTGACTCCTCCACGAAACTCCTTCCAGAACAAATGCCCTTGATCACAGGGATCCTTCTGGGGAAACCAGGGGAGTGGAAGAGATCAATTCACTGGTTGGACAAACCCTGAGCACCTACTTTGGACATCAAGTCCATAAGAACAGTGCTTCCTCCATTCCTCTGTAGGTCCCCACCAGCACAGAAATGGTCCAAGGATGAAGGGTTTTAGACCCTATGATACACACACACACACACACACACACACACACATTCAAGGATAGCAGCACACAAGAAGGTTTTACAGTCTATCTTCTGCCTCTTCCCCCAGCTCATCAGATTCTGATCTTACGTATTCCTGTGCAGACACCCACATGCAAATATGCATCCATAACCCCTTGTTCTCCCTCCACAATATTCCGTTAGGCTAAGCTGCTTCAAGTATTTGTATTCACTTCTGGCTTCTTTTTCTTGCCCAAAGTCTGGCGTCCAACTCTAATTCCAAAGGCAATGCCACAGCCCCGCTTTCTGTGTCCAGCAGGTGTCGCCCCTCACCGGAAACAAAATGCACCCTCCCTTCTACCGTGAGAAATCTTTACCCCTACAGCAGACGTCCCTCGGGTTGGGGTTGAAAGCGGGGCTCTGGAGAGAGGTGTGCTCTCCTAGAGTGAGGATCCTCTGAATAAAGCCATCTACTTACTTCCAGCTAAGGTAGACAAACATCCCATGGGAAATTTGTTCTTTGATCTTGGGCAAGTTATCCACACTCCAAGCCTTGCTTTCTTCACCTGTGATATGGAAGGAGACAACCTTTTTCTCCTGGCGTTATTGGAAGAAGTAAGTGAGATACAAATACAAAGCACTTAGCCCAGCACCTGGGTCATTATACGTACTTGAGCTGTGGGCTTTTCCCCACTTAGGGTTTGGAAGAAATCACCACCCAAAACTTCTATCTGAAGTTAAGCTCTGCCCCCTGAGTCTTAGCTAAGGATCCACATCAGAGCTGCAATGAGGATCCGTGAGATAATACATGTAAAGTACCCGGTCCAATGTCTGGTCCAGAAAGCTGAGTAACAAGCAATAACTAACATCACTCCTGTGGGCTCAGCACATGCCAGCAACGTTCTTAACCATCTGCAAGTATGAACGCACTCAATCCTCCTAAGACCCCTTATGAGGTAAGTAATCTGTCAATTCCCTGCCTCTCTCTGATTCTGTGACTCCATCCAACCACAGTTTAATTTCTTTTTATGAATTATAGATCAGAAAACTGCCCCCAATTCTGTCATGTCTAGAGGGAATAATTAAGAGGACATACTGACTCCTCCACTCAAGGAGGAGAGAATTAACCCCAACCCATAACTCTGCTCATGGTCCCTCCCCAGGGCCTCAGGAAAAAGCATAAAAAAAAAAAATACAACAATATTTCCACCAGAGTTTATTCCTCAGAGATGATCACCAGTAACTCACTGGCCCCTGTGGCACACTGTGGCTTCCAGAAAGGTCTTTAATCTCCCTCCCCAGATGATATTCAACCCAGAAATATAGTTAGCCTTGGACAATAACTTGATTACACAATATTCCCAGGATTGAGTTCCCCTAGCGTGCTAAGGTGTACACAGGGTGGGCTGGGAAGTTCAAAGATCCGGATGGAGAAACCATAGGATCCAAGAAAATGTGTAGGGTCTGACGATGTTGGGGGGACACAGCAGCATCACTAAGACTCTGAATCTCCTCGCTTGCGGTATAGAAGGTGTAGGTCTCTTCCTCTAACTGACATGTTGACCTGCAGAAGAAATAAAAAGGAAATAATAAGGCTTCAAACCAACTTGACCCCATCCTCTGTCTCTAGAGCCATCCATGCCAGAGCCCTTAATACGATGACATCAAAAATTCTAGATCACCAAGGACTAATACTACAAAGCCACTTTCAGTTGTCTCCCCATAAACACTCCATTGGATAGAAGAAGGGGGTGTGGTTGCTCCTCTTTCCTGCTCCTAATCCCAGCAATGGCACTTTAAATTATGCTCTTGGCTACATCCTGGTGAAGCCTCGCCCCTACTATAAACACCATTAGCTGAGCCCAGCACTGACTCCCGAAATCTCTCACCACCACCCCACCAAGGACCAGGAGGCAAACAACTAACACAGATGTTACCTTCTGGATAACTGGCCCCAGGGAGGAAAATGTAGCCTGGAAAAAGAAAATATCTGATTAGGGGACAGTCTGTAGATAAAAGTATCTGGTGTTACTCACAACAAATGAGGTAGCAATGGGAAAACCAGTCACAGACAGAAAGTGAACAGAAATTGGGAGTGAGATTGGCAACAGGAGGTCAGGGACGGCACTCACCGGAGGAGTGAACTCTCCGCCAGCTGAGCAAACCAAGAGAGAAAATGACGAAGCCCAGGCCCAGAGTCACTGCAGACACGGAAACCTTCAGTGTCTGCATCGGGGACAGCCCAGGTGCTGCAAAAATAGAAACTTACTGGAACCAATCTATTGCCCATTGCCAGAGCAACTTAATTTAGTGTGACTTCCAGCTAGGAAGTTCAAAGGTGCTTTAGCCCAATGCCAAGAGTCTGGCGCACACCAACCTATACCCAAGGAAACAGACTTTACTCAAAAATCCCCATCCTGTAGCTCTCTACTGCTAGAGCAGCCCTGGGGGACCCCTCTCAACACAGTTAGCACCAGAGCTTCTAGGTCCTCTCTAATATACTGGGGTCTCTCGGGCATCTTTTTTCCCTTCCTCACCCTGAAGGTCTTCTCACCAAAAAATAAAGGATTCCTCATTCTCCTCAATATTTACCCCATAGTGACTATGTTGGCTCCCTTATGTGCTCTAACAGAGTATTTATCTATTAAAATGTCTTTCCACCTTTCTTAACTCTCAGTGATCCCATTCCATGAGTTATCTGACTACTGAGGTATCTCTTCCTGTCCACCTCCAGATTTCCAGAACTGGTCTCCAGCCCACCCCATAGCTCCCACTTCCTGGAACCCATCATACTCTGAATCCACCCTACCTGGATTCCTCCCACCATGCTGAAATGAACATTCCATCATCAAAGGAAACTCTGGCACACGCTGGGGAGGAGACTTTCCCAGGAGAGTTCTGGTGCACCTGTGGGTTCTGCTTTTCATGCCCTTCTCAGCTGCCCAGCAAGACAGCATTCCCCAAAGGGGAGCCCAATCTCAGCAGCCAGTCTAGGATCCTGTTCCCCAGCTCTTCGTAGATACCCCTCCTCTTCCTCATTGCTCCCTCTTCTATTTCCTCAAATATGTGTACCAAATCTCTTGGTACGTTTAACTACTTCCAATCCTGGGGTTCAAGCAGTGGTTATTGGTTCCTTGTTCATTAGCCCCCAAGCATGTAAACCAAAGTGTTTGCCAGCCAGGCTTTTTCTTCCTTGACAGAGCAGCCCAAATTCACAACTGCCCGTACGCCGAGAGAAAGTCCCGTTTCTTCCGAAAGCTTTTTTATTCCTTCGGTTCCCATTCCTGGCCAGACAACAGAATAGTTGAAATCTGAAGATCCTAAAATGTTGCATCACAATTTTTGGTTGTGAAAACATGGTCACCAAACCACATCCTCTTTTCAGGATAGGCACGCTGCTCTCCTGCCACCCCCAGATGCACACATGACATCAACCACGCCACCGTGGCAACAGCAACAGTAACTCTTCCCATTCCTGTCTCCCACGGCCTCATCTCTGGTCATCAGCCCTCCACCAGTTCCTCCAGACTGGCTGCTCATTCTCAGCATCTCCCTCCCTGCTGTCATTCCCTGGACCTGTCCACATGTCACTCCCTGAGCCAAAATGTTGGTGTTCCTTGTCAACAACCCATGCACAGTAGCTCTCTGCTTCAACCGTAATTCCTCCCACCCTCCATGCACTTACTCCAGTCCTGGAAGACAGGCTCAGGAGCCCCAATGTGCACCACCACACAGGTGTAGGTGTCCCCATAAGAAGGGGTTGTAGCTAAATAGGAGACAGTCTGATATGTCCAGTCTCCATTGGGCTGGGCCATCTTAGGGTCACTACTGTGAGGAGGGACAGGCTGCCCATTCTTCCTCCACCAGATGGTCACATCAGCTGGATAGAAGCCCCAAACGTAGCAGGCCAGCATCACACTCTCCTTCGTGTTAAAAGGAGTGGTTTTGGCTACTTGCACAGTTGGTGGCCCTGCATAGGAAGAAAATGTGGTCGTGAAAGAAGGCAACATTCTGGCTTTTTCTCCAACCCGGTTTCTTTCCTGCTTCAACTCTTCATGGCTTTTGCCAACTGACCCTTCCCACCCCCACTCCATGCCTCCACACATCCCTTTAAAAAAGGAATTAGAATTATTCCTGCTTTGCTCTTTATTTCCCCTCATTCCTTCACTGCTCTTTCAGATTCCTGATCCAACATTATGGTTGATCACATTAAGCAGAAGCCAGGTCTGAACTGCAAGCTGTTTCAGAAGTCACTGAATATATATTTCAAGTAATATATTGATAATTTCAAGTGAAATGTTTATTTCAAGTATATAAGCTAACCGTTATCAAGCATTGTAGGTTAGGATTTATAAAGGTAGAAAAAGATGTCTGTCCTCAAATCTAATTTAACAAACTTAAGTGGCTGAATCAAGCAACATTTTTCCCTCAGATAGTTTAAGGAAATGAGCCTAACTCAGATCTAACTCTCTTAAATTTGGATTAACATAATCTGAATTAATGAGATTGTTAATATTGCCATTCCCTACTAGTATATTCTTCTAGGTGGCCCTCCTGCTTGCCTCTACTTTGGTGCTTTTCAAACAAAATCTTAAATAAAAATCCAAGAAATTGTGTTAAAAGGCAGTTTCACTAGGCTGCATCCCCAAATATTTTCACTGAGAAGATCTATAGTGGCACTCAAGGGCTTGTATTTTTAACAAGCACCTTCCCCAGGCAATTCTGAGAAAAGTGGTCCAGAAGTCACATTTTAGACATATTACTCTGTCTAATGGAGATCTTCATGTTTTCTTTTATCAGTCTCAAGTCCTTCTCAGTGCAAGGGATTGGGGGCAAGAAAGCATGTTGAAATTCCCAGGGAGGCTTTCTAAATATTCCCATGCCTGGGTGCATCCCAGACCTAAAACATCAGAACCTATGACAAAGAGGTATGAGCACTTTGGAAAAAGGTATTCTGGTTATTCTGACACACTCCTGGTTGAACTTGACTCTGCATCATGAGATGCCCTGAATGGAAGGAAAGCATGCTTACTCTCTCAGCCCATTGGCCTCAAACATCACTTCCCTTTCTTTATTCCTGCTCCATACCCGTCAACAACACTTTGAGGGTCCACATTCACTCTTCTTACATTCCAGGTCCACACATTTTCTGCTTCTTTCCTGCACAAATCTCAAACCTGTTGGCTATAGAGGGATGGAGGGATGGAAGGATTCTCCCTGGCTTCTCCTCTAACTGTGCTTCCCAATAGCCCCGTTGTGCCCCTCTCTTCTTACGTGTCCTGTGCGTCAGTGATCCCCAGAAGGACTGGGTATGTGTGGCACAGTCCTGGAGTCCATTAGACAAGCGGGAAAGCACGGATTCCTGACGGTTGAGGAACTCTGAGAGGTACTTGGCCAAGGGATTCAGTGCCCCAAATTCAAGAGGGACCATTTTGGACTTGTCTCGATCCCAGCAGGTCAGCAAATCCTTGTTGAAGGAGACACAATATGTGAAATCCTTTGCAGTCCCATCATCATCCAACAGACAGGTGCTTTCCACATGGGCTATAAAGCCACCTACAGGAACCAGAGAAAGGGGGCAGCTCAGAGACCTCTGCAGGGAGCCCAAGCCCCGGTTCCTGCCCCAGTTACACCCAGTGAGTGGGGTGTAGCTTTCCTGCTTCAGGCAGCATCTACAGACCAAGCTCGTGTACTGGAGTCTCTGAGAGCACCAAGTCAGGGAATAGACGGTAGCAGCAGAGAAGTTTTTAGTTACCGTTTCCTCTTTATGAGACTAAATATGGGAACAAGAATGGCCCCAAATTATTTGCTAGTTTAAACACAACAATTTACCCAGGACAAGACCTTCAGTAAGGTGAATTATTGATTGAGAAAAGGGGTCAAGGGAAAGAGTCAGCTTTGTTGCATGCTGGATATATTATTAAATATTCACTCCATATATATTTATGGAGCACACACACAAATGTGCCAGGCACTGTGCTAGGAGCTGAGGATATGAGGATACAGAAATAAACAAGACAGATATTGCCCTTGCCTACACTCCAGCAAAAGATACATATTACGCAAATAATTATACAGTTCAATTATATTAAAATTGCAACAAAGATACAAAGGTAGGAAGTGCTATCAGAGTATATACCAGAGAAACAAAGAGTCTGGGGTGTCCAAATCCAAGTGACTCCCTTGCCCCAAAGGAGCAGAGGAAGGGGGATCCCAAGCAGGAAACCCTTACCTTCTCCAGCAGAGCCCAGGCTGAGGCCCAGAAGCAAAGGCAGGAGTGTGGTCATGCTCTGCTCTGGGGACACACCAGGAATTCAGTGCCCTGGACTAGTTCTTCCAGGGCCCTGGGTCCTCACCTGCTCCAGTAGTTCCAGCCTGGGTAGATGATCTCCAGACCCTGAGCGGACTAGAATATAGCCCCGACTCCTTGATCCCCCATAAATGAGTGATTTGGAGCCACCCAGTCCCTAGATACTAATTCTGTTCCTACCAGCTCTTCTAAATCAGTCCCAAACTAAGAGTTGTCAGATGGGTTAGATGGGCGGGGACAAATAGGAGACAAATCACTGAGTGCTTCAGCCTAGCATCACCAGTTACCAGGTAAATCTTATCCTGCCCTAGGCTTTAAAGGACTCTGTCTCTTAACTCTTTCCCTGTGGGAAAGACCAGTCTGTAGATGGATTTCCTTAGATCAGTGGAGAGAATAATCCCAATACTCCCAGAACATACGTAGCCTGGGCTGCCCACCGGTTTAACTATTTCCCTTCAATATCCTTCCAAAAGACAGAGACTAGGTAACTTCTCTGTCCCTTAGAGGGAGGTAACTTAGAAAGATATTGCATAACCCCTGGTCTGCCCTGTCACCAGGAGATGGGAGATGGAGGCAGGAGCTGTAAGGCTCTTCTGGAGCAGGTGGCAGAGACAGGGCTGTTGAGATGGAAGGAGGCCCAGGGAGCGTGCAGGGTTATTTGGCCTCAAAGCGCCACTGGGGAAGAGGGGAAACAATTCCACTTTAGAGGTCAGAGACGGAGACTGGAAAATCCTTCCCTGGGATTCCATTGCTTCTTGCAGAGCTGCATTTTGTCCTTCCTGCTTTTTTGGAGCCAGTCTGAGCCATCTCAGGGCAGACCACAGGACAACTCCACATGAACCCTTGATAAATAGCTGGGAATGGACCAATTCTCAAAGCTCTCCTGCCTTGCCCAAACTCAACACTCTCCTATGCGTTTCTCCCACTAATCCTATCTGTCCTGGAGCAGGTCCCTGCATTATGAAGCCACTAGAAAAAATAAGATAAAGATTCCCTCCTTTACTTCCCCCGGAAAAGGCAGATTTTAAATGGCAATTCATCCTCCTATCCCATTGTGAACTGTACAACTGTGATGGCTTCTTCACTCACAAATTTAAAACCTGAAATTGTCTTCTCTCTCTTCCCCAGTGGCTTCGGGGCTGCATCTCCCCACCTCAGTTTCTGCAACCTTTAGATTTGATTTAGCAGTGAGCTAAATGAGAGAGGACTAGGAGAGAGCCCCTTGACACCACACTTACCTGTCCTCCTCCAAAGTCCCCAACCTCAAGAAAATCAATACTTAGGAAGAAAAAAGAAGTATGTACCAAAAATGAATAGAAAAATGACTATCAGAAGCAAAACACTTGGGTAATAATTGAGATTATCTGAAGTTGTGTTTCCCAGCAACCCCTGCTCTGAACCTCCTCTTCATTATAAGATGTTTCTACACTCTACATCCTCTAATATGAGCCATCAGGAGAGCTGGAATGGGCAGAAGACGGAGGCAGCGAGTCCAAAATTTGTTGAGCTTCTGCTCTGGAACTGATACTACACTAGGTAGGCCCTTTCCATGCTATCTCATATAACCTTAAAAGATTTGTTGAGCGTCCCCATTTTACAGTTTTGAAAAGAGCTCCAAAGATTCACACACAGACACGCACACACACACGTGAATGCAAATGAGCAAACCCACACACTCACTACATCCTGGGGCTGGAGGTGACCCACATAAAGGTAGCCAGTGGTGGCCTCCACTGAGAGAAAGATAAAGGGAAAAGTCACTCCACCATCCAAATCTTTGCTTCGCTGTTCTCAGAATTCCTTCTGTTCTCAGAACCAGGGTCTCTCCGCGCTTTCTCTTTTGACAGTTTCAATACTGTGTAAACTCTTCCCCACTTGTACATGCACTTCCCCCGGATGCTCTTCCCCGCCCCGCCCTCCCACCAGGTAGGCAGTGAACCTGACCTTGCAGGAGCCAGGGCTTGAGATCCTTTTCACCATCTACGAAGCCCGCACCTGCACAGAATTGCTGGTGGTGAGGTCCCGTGCCTGCCTGCACCGGGATGGCCGCCCACCAGCAAGATGAGGCCATGTCTAGTCTCTGCTCGGGCAGCCAAAGGAGATGTGAAACCTTCTCTGAGGCAGCAGCAGGAAATGCAGAAGTTTTCACTTCTCCATTAATGAGAAGGCGACGGGTGCTTTTTAGAATAAAGCAGGACAGAAAACCCAGAGACCTGTGCTCAGCCAAGAGGTTTTTTCCTTCCCCTTTTCCTCCTAATTTTACAGACCAAGTTCTGTCCCCCACCTCCCATCAACCCAAAAGAACGTTTCACGTGCTATCCATTGTGATTGGATAACTATTTCTGTAGTGTCAGGACCGCCAGGACTGCAGGAGTGAGGGAGCCGCAGCCTCATTCCCACAAGCTGTCCCTCTTTTCCTGGCACTGCCCAAGCTCGGAAAGCCAGTCCTCTCCTTTCACATGCTTCTTCCTCCAGGCTGTCCACCACGCACCACAGGTGGACTAACCATAGCATTCCTGTGCAGAACATTACAGGGAATACCCAGGGAGGAGACAGGGATTCTGTTCCCATGTCACTCACTTTTAGGTCAGTTGGGGAGTGAGAACAGTCATCTGTAAAGAGAAGAGTTTATTTTAAGGCAAGTAAGCAGTAATGCCAGTGTACTTCAAAGAGAAAAGAGAAATCATTGAGGGCACAGTGGACAGGGAGTCCTCTCCAGGGAGGAGTATTAGAGGTGAGCCCTGACTACTGGGCTGAAGTTGTGTTCAGAAGAGGAAGGCAGTCGCCATCGCAGTCCTGGCACATAACACCACAAGCTTGGCAATGTTATGAGGTGCTGTTGAAGGTCTACCAGGAGCCTGGATTGACTAAAACACAAAGGAACTGCAATAGCATCAAGGGCATCACACAGTGAAGGAAGTCACAAATGTGGTCTCATGCTCTTCCTAACAGCACGGCCATAATAATAAATCCCTTCTAGGTACTTCTTTCTGTTTCTCCCTATAAGTTCTCAGGTTCCTCTTCTGGACAGATGGCTTTAACTCAAGCTTCAATTTTATAAACTCAAAAATGGTTCAGCCCATCAATCATTTGCAATCTAAAACCCATAGCATGACGGGGCGCCTGGGTGGCTCAGTGGGTTAAAGCCTCTACCTTCAGCTCAGGTCATGATCTCAGGGTCCTGGGATCGAGCCCCGCATCGGGCTCTCTGCTCATCAAGGAGCCTGCTTCCTCCTCTCTCTGCCTGCCTCTCTGCCTATTTGTGATCTCTGTATCAAATAAATAAATAAAATCTTTAAAATAAATAAATAAATAAAAATAAAACCCATAGCATGAGAACACATTTGTGACTTCCTTCAATGTCTTCTCAAAACTACACGCATCTGCACCCTGCCAGGACTACATCACTTCCTAGTCTGTCTAACCTCAACCCTCTCTATCCACACCTCATCTCTGTCCTCCCACTCCCTCTTCTCTACAGGATTCACTGCTCCAGACCCTGACCTTGGAGTTACAGCTGCTGTAACTACCCCATCATCCTTCCATTCTTCAGCCAAATGACTTAAGCTACTAGGGGGATATTCTACCTGACTTGCCACCACAGCTCCTGAATAATGTTATCTTCATCTTAACTATGAGAAAATGGAGCCAGAGGGAGGTTAGCAAGCAGACTTACCCAGACACTAAGTAATAGAACCATGACTTGAACTGAGGATTTATGATTCTAAAGTCTGTACTCCTAATAATCAGAAAATAATAGAACATTGCTAGCCATTTATAATAGTTATAAAACCCATAACATGTTTAGAAATTAACATTAAAAAGTATAAGCACTTTATGAATAAAAGGGAAAACTTTATTAAAGTACATAAATGAACACCTCAGAAAGTAAAGAGACATATTCACAGATGGGACGTCCTGACATAACGTCCTGACATAACGAAGAATTTCTCCCCGTATCACTAACCTAAATGCTGTCCTAACCACATCATAGCAGGGCTTGGGGAGAACTTGTTAAGGTGATTCTAAAATGTACACAGGTATTAAATCCATGAGTATCTTAGACAACTTTGATAAAGAAGAGCAAAATGGGATTTGGGGAGAGATGAGTGATAAAGAAATGAAAACGAACCCTGCCAAGTATTAAGACATATGAAAAGTCATAATAATTAAAACAATATGATACTGATATAGGAACTGACAAACCAATGGAGTGAATAATTCAGAGACAAATCTATGCACATAGGGAAACTTGTTATAAAATCCCCATCAATAAGTGGAATATTTCGTAAATAATATTAAGAAGATCAATTTACTATTTGGAAGAAAAGAAAGTTGTATCCTTATTCCCATTATACAGAAAAATTCCAGATCAATAAAGATCTAAATATGAAAGAGAAACAGTAACACAAATGGAAGCAAGCATAGTAGAATGTCATATATGGCCAGGTAAATATAAGGCAAAGCTTTTCCACCCAAAACTACTCAACAGAAAAAGAGAATTACCTTATGCCTAAGTCCTTGGGTTTTTTTCCTTTTCAAATTAAGGTCACTCTTTCAAAGCTGTTTGGAAAAGATACATTATCCTAAAATGATGCCAGTAAATACAAGATGCTTGTTTTGTTTTTAAGATTTTATTTATTTATTGGTCAGAGAAAGAGAGAGAGAGAGAAAGGGAGAGAGAGAGAAAGAGAGCACAAGCAGAAGGAGCAGCAAGCAGAGGGAGAAGCAGGCTCCTCCCTGAGCAGGGAGCCTAATGCAGGACTTGATCCCAGGCCCCCGGGGGGTCATGACTTCAACCAAAGGTAGACGATTAACCGACTGAGTCACCCAGGCATCCAGTCCACACTGTTTCCTATAGTGGCTGCAGCAATTTACAGTCCTACCTACACACCACACGAACAGTCAGTAACAGTATGGAGTCTCCTCAAAAAAATTGAAAATAGAGCTACCATATGATCTTACAATTCCACTCCTGGGTATTTACCCAAAGAAAATGAAAACACTCACTCAAAAAGATATATGTACCCCCATGTTCATTCAGCATTGTTCACAATAGCCAAACCATGGAAACAAACTAAGTGTCCATTAATGGCTGGATGGATAACATATCCATATGGCTGGACACATATAACACACACAACAATGAAATGTTATTCAACTGTTTAAAAAAATAGGAAATCCTTCCCTTTCTGGCAACATGAATGGATCTCAA